AAGGGGCATAGGGAAAAAAACTACTGTATACATACATTCCTGGGGTGAGGTCCAGGTACTATGGTTTTGTTGTTGTTGTTGTTATTGTTTTATTTTCTATTGTTGCTTTGTTTTGCTGGTCTTGTATTTATGCATATTATTATCTATACGCGTCTATCTAGATAAATAGGTGAAATAAACAAACCGGAGGAGAAAACAACAGGATGACAGTTCCGGGGGGCACGTGGTAGAGTGGGAGGTGGGGGAAAGGAAGTGGGTGTTAACAAACGCAGGCACAAGGGAACAACAAGTGACCAAAAATCGATGGTGAGGAGGGTGTAGGAGGTCTGGTGGGGCTTGATCAAGGACGGTGTAACCGAGAGGAATTATTGAGACCCAAATGAAGGCTAAATATGAAAGGTGATAGTAGGACATGAGGTAAGTTAAAGGAAATAGAGGAAAGAACTAGGAAGCAATGGGCATTTATAGAGATCTAAATACAGGCATGCACACATGTAAATATATTTATATATTACGATGGAGAAATAGGTCACATTTGTTTTTAAAGGGCACAAATACAGAATTCTTCCAGTCAGTTGGCCAGGTAACTGTCCTCCAAGTTTCTAGGCATAGACAAATTAATACATTCAGTACTTTATGAGCTTATTGAAGCATTTCAAATGGTATTTCATCAATTCCTGGAGCCATGTTTTTGGCTACTGCCTTCATTTCACTTTGGACTTTTTCCTTCAGTATCATTAGTATTACTTCTTGGTAATTTGCTAACACATGAAATGGTTAAACGTCTATCAATTTTTTTTTCTTTTTAAAGCCATTTTATTGGGGACTCTTACAAATCATCACAGTCAGTCCATCCATCCATTGTGTCAAACACATTTGTACATTTGTTGCTGTCATCATTCTCAAAACATTTGCTTTTTACTTGAACCCTTGGTATCAGCTCCTCATTTTACCCCTTCCTCTCTGCCCCCCTCTTTCATGAACCCTCAATAATTTATAAATTATTATTATTTTGTCATTTCTTATAATTTACAACGTCACCCTTCACCCACTTTTCTGTTGTCCAACCTCCAGGGACAGGGTTATATGTAGATCCTTGTCTTCAGTTCCCCCTTTCTACCCCACCTTCCCCTGCCCTACTGGTATTGCTATGATCATTATTGGTCCTGAGGGGTTTATTTGTCCTGTAATCCCTGTGTTTGCAGTTCTAATCTGTATCAGTGTACATCTTCTGATTTGTAAGGTAGAATTAGGATCATGGAAGTGGTGGGGAGGTAGCATTAAAGAACTAGAGAAAAGGTGTATGTTTTATCATTGCTATACTGCACCCTGACTGGCTCGTCTCCTCCCACGACCCTTTTGTAAGGGGATGTCCAGTTGCCTACAGATGGGATTTGGTTCTACTCCACACTCCCCCTCATTCACAATGAGATGATTTTTTGGTCTTTGATGCCTGATACCCAATCCCATCGACATCTCATGATCACACAGGCTGGTATGCTTCTTCCATGTGGGCTTTGTTACACTAGCAATTATTTTTTGAGACAGCAATTTGTGTATTTTTTCTGTGTTTTTGACGCTTCCTACATCATTAAATATTTTTCCTTTAGAATTTTTATACTTTTTAATGTGAGACTTGAATTTTTCTTCACTTCTTTCAGCTTGGGATGAAATATCTTGTCTCCTTTTAGTGTTCTAACTCCAGGTCTTAGCACATTTCATAGCAATACTTGTACTTGTCTTCTTGAGGTGCCTTTTGAAATTCCAGTTAATCCATTTCATCATTTTTTTCTTTTTGCTTTAGCTACTCTAAGATCAAGAGCAAGTTATAGATTCTTTTCTAACATTCATTTTGCTCTTTTCTCTTTCCTTGATTTTTAATGCATATTTAATTTATTCATGTATGATGTTCTTCAAATTGTCCTGCAGTTCATCATTATGACTCTCAGTGTACAATGGATGAAATATATTCTTAAAAAAAAAGATGTCCTGTAAATTCAAGTGGAATAATCTCAATATTTATTTGGGGTTCATGGATTTGTTTAATTTTCTTCAACTTCACCCTGAACTTAATTGATTATCTGTTCCACAGTCAGCTTCTGGCTTAATTATGGCTACTGCTATGGAGCTTCTCGACTCTAATATAGTCAATTTGATTTCTGTGCGGTCCACGTGGAAAGATCCATGTGTAAGATTGTCTTTTCTGTTTTTGAAAAAAAGGTAGTTGCAAGGGAGATCTTTAAAATTTTATCATACACTCTCTTGGTTTATTTCTATCACCAAGATCAAACTTTCTAACTACAGTTCCTTCCTCTTTGTTTCCAAATTTCACATTCCAATTGCTAATAATTATCAGTGAATCTTGACACCAAGTTTGATTTCATACTGAAACATTGATGGAAGTCCTCAATTTGTTTATCACTAGCTTTAGTGATTGGTGTGTATTTTGATTAATAATTGTATTAACTGGACTTTCTTGTCCTATAGATATTACTTATCATAGACAACATTGTACTTCAATAAATATCTTGATATGTTCTTTTTGATTAATGCAATCCTATTTCTTTACATTTTTCCATTCATGACATAGTAAATCATATGATTATCTGATTCAACATGCCCCATAGCAATCCATTTAAGCTAACTAATGCCTAAGGCATTAATCTCACCTTTTCATTTAAAAAAATCATTTTATTGGGGGCTCGTACAATTCTTATCACAATACACACACACATCCATTGTGTCAAGCACATGTGTACATTTGTTGCCCTCATCATTCTCAAAACTTTTACTTTCTACTTGAGCCCTTAATATCGGCTCCTCATTTTTCTCTCTTCCCACTCCCCCCTCCTTCATGAACCCTTGATAATTTATAAATTATTATTACTTTGTCATATCTTACACTGTCCGATGTCTCCCTTTACCCATTTTTCTGTTGTTCATTGCCTTTTCATTTTTGATAACTTCCGATTTTCCTAGAATCTTCGCTTGCACATGATTTGTTCATACTAATAATGAATATTTGAACTTTATTAACCTCATTTATAGTTATTTCCCATCTGCAAATTAAGTTTTGGAAACTTTACTCAATCCACTTCATTATGAATGCCTTTAACATAATGAGCGTATCTTCCTGCACTATCTCTGACAATATTAGCTGTTGTTCATGAGTTTTCCATATGGAGTCCCTGTGTAGCAGGTTACAAGTTGGGCTGCTAACCACCAGGTCAGAAGATGGAACTAATCTGGTTCACTGTGGGAGAAAGGTGAGGCTTTCTGCTCCCATAAAGATTTGCATCCACTGGAAATCCAAAAGGGCGGTTCTACTCAGTCCACAGGGTCACTATGAGTCAAAATTAACTCAATGGCATTGAGTTTGGAGTTTGAATCCTTTAGAAGGCATCATCCTATTGCTTCTTCGTGTCTACTCTAAGTCGCGCAGCTCAGCTGGAAGCTGTTCACCTGGGGTAACCCTGCTGGCATTTGAAATAACAGTGGCATAGCGTCTAACATCATAGGAACACACAAGCCACTTAAGCACTGAAACCATATTGCAATCTTGTAAAACTTACCCTCAAATATATTATACATTTCATTTTTAAGATGATGTTTGTAATAGAAATTCCATGTGCATATTGAAATATAACTTATTGAAAAATGTAAACTAAACAAAGTGTCCTTTCTTGTACTTTATAAGTAGGAAATGATGGCTCCTCAAAATAAGCTCTAATAAAACAAACTTTCATATTTTAAATGATGTTCTTTAGAATCCCCCCTCATAACATTTCCTCTTCCAGTAGTCTGACCTCTCATAGAAAAAACAAAACAGGACAGACTTTAAATGTCATAAGAGGCTCCTACTTCATTTGATTTCTCCCACACTTTAGGCAAGTTTCATACTTATTTAATTTCTGTATGCATCCATAAGATCCAGAACACTTCTGGATTTCTTGGGATCTCTCAAGGGTTTTGATAAATTAGAGTGACAGTAAAATGTTGCTCTGAAATTAGATTAAAAAAGGAAAATTACTCTTTCGATACTTATTCTGTGTAAGTTCAAATATGAGATAGGCTACTAAGTTAGAAATCTATGCATACCATTTTGATAGTTGAATTTATCTTTTTTTTTTTACTGTTGTTAAGGGATTTGATTTGATTCTAAATCCTAGTAATCCTATGGTTAAAAAAAAAAAGAAACAATCTCGCCTGATTTTATACTATTCTCACAATTATTGTTTCTTAGCACATTTTTGCAGTAATTATATCAATCCCTCTCATTTAGGGTCTTTTTCTTTTTTACTGATCTTCTACCTTACCAAGCATAATCTCATTCTCCAGGGATTTGTTTCTCCTGAAATAAATCCAAAATATGCGAGACAGAGTCTTGCACTCTCCATTGCCCTAGAACATCTGGCTTTACTTTTTTGGAAGATAGATTTGATCATTCTTCTTTCAGTCCATGGTATGTTTAATATTCTTCACCTAGCCCATAATTCACATGCATCAATTCTTCAGGCTCCTATTTCTTATTCATCTTTGACATACATACATATATTCAAAACTATGGCTCAACTCAGAGACAGTCTTTTTCTCAATTGCTTTTTAACACTTTAAAAAGGTCTTTTGAAGGATGTTTTCCAAATGCAATTAGTTGTTAGTTTTCCTGATGGATGCTTCAGTAGGTGTTTTTGAATCCAAGTAAATGAAATCTTGGCAAACATCAACATTTTGTTTATTATGAAATTGTCGATTGGTTCAGGATTTTTCTCCTTACTTTATGTTGAGTGTACCCCATACTGAAGGCTGTAGTCTTTCATCATAATTAGCAAATGGTTCAGGTCCTCTTCACTCTCAACTAACAAGGTTTTGTCATAAATCATATTCTGATGTTACACATAATACATTCCAACAAGGTTAGATCAAGAGTAAAAGTTTAAGAACTAAAGAGTCTGAGAGAAGGGTGTGGTCCAAAAACAACCTTATGAAATATTACATTTTTTATACATACCTGACTGGGGAGATACCATTATCATGAGGGTGTTTTTTCCAGGGTGAGGCTTATCCATTGCACTCTGGGTGTGCTGATCCCTGCAATTTTCCCAAATGTGGGAAACTCGACTGTATAGTTTGTGGTAGTGGGAAACTGTTTTTGCACTCTCCCCTCTATAAAAGAGAAAAAAATGCATTTTAGTTAGATTTTTAAAGATATACTGTCCATAGGAATAGGAATAAGAAATATTTTATTTATTATAGAATAAATAATCCCTTATAGGAAAGACATCACTGCATTGAATTTTGTAACATGTAAGCATATTAATTGAGTGCAATACTTTGAGAGGATCAAAATCATTGTATCATTGTCACTTGTATAAACAGTTAAAATAGAATGTATTATATATTCAATACAGTTAAATTTGTCTTAAGTAAAAAAGATGATTTTGTTTATCTTAAATATTATTTTAGTTATAGTTAGCTTTAAAGAAACAATTGAAGCCTGGTCATTACTTTAGGTAACTGTCAAGAGCATTTAAAACAAATCAGAGGAAATAATACAAATGATAATAATTATCTCTTTTTGACTTCGTGAACAAAAACCAATGATAGCCAAAAATACAGTAATATTTATACATAAATAATTCTTTTCAACAGTGTTTACTTAAGCTAAATCAATTGGAAAATTTTTAGGAAGTCACATAAATTTTGCACTTTAAATTTCTATTTACAATCACTTTGACATTTATATATAGCTTTTATATAAGGAGCCCTAATATTCCAGTGATTAAACCACTGAGCTGTCAGCCAAAAAGTGGGTGGTTTGAACCAATCAGCCACTATGTGGGAGAAATATTTAACAGTATGCTTCTGTAAAGATTTATAGACTTGGGAACCCTGGGGCATACTTCCACTCTGTACCTTAGTTATCATGAATTGTAATTGATTAGACAGTGATGTGTGTTTTATATCGTAATTGAAGTTAGGAGCCATCAATTAGGTTCTAGTGCTTAGCTACATTAGGTAAAATAGAACTAAACACTGTCTGGACAAATGCCATTCTCACACTTTTTCCTTGTGTGTGAACGCATTGCTGCACCCATTTTGCCATTTCATGTGTTGAGGGTTTTCTTCTCTAGATAGGCCCTCTGTTTTACTAAGAATGATGTCCTTTTGAGGGACTGGTACCTCCTAATAACACGACCCAAGAACTTAAAACAAAGTACTGGTATCCTTGCTATTACGAAGCTCTTGCCTGCACTTCCTTTAAGAGGGGTTGGTTCAGTCTATCAGTCGATGGTACGTTTAATATATTCTTTGCCCAACACCCTAAATAAGTAAATCAATCCTTGTCTACTCTTCCTTATTCATTGTCTAGCTTTTGCATTCATATGAGGTGATCGAAATATAATTCCTTGAGTAATTATAAGTGGCCTCTTTTTAAAACTTTAATAAAGAATTCTTTTTCAGCAATTTTTGCTCAATGTAGCCCCTTTGTAATTTAAATTAAACTATATTTTGTTATAAAATAATTCTATTTTTTTAAATGATGTTTTGCTAGTGTTATCTAATCACTACAGTAAAAACATTTATGATTGAATAACTAATTATGGGGTGCTAAATTCATATCAAACTGATTTTCATAGCTTACAGTTACTTAGAGGCATTATTAAGAGTTAAATTTGCCAGTTACATGACAGGAGAAAAACCAGGGCCTCAAAGTAAGCATACTCGGGCAGGTAATTAACTGAGACTCTGGTGTTGTTGCTAGGTGCCATTGAGGCAGTTCCCACCCTTAACTCCCTTATGCTCAAGACAGGGACACACTCTCTGGTCCTAGGTCATCCTTTACAATTGTTCCTATACCTAAGCCCGTTGTTACAGTCATTGTGTTAATCCATCTCATTGATGATTTTCCTCCCCACCACCCTCCCTCCTTAAACACACACACACACACACACACATACACACACACACACACACACACACACACACATTTACCGAGCATAACACTCTCCTTCTCCAGGGATTGGTCTCTCCTGAAAACATGCCCGGAATATATAAGCAGAATCCTTGCCATCCTTGTCTTTAAGGAGCACTCTGGTCTTGCTTCTGTCAACACAGATAGTTTTTGCCTTTTGGCAATCCACGGCACTTTCGATTTCTTCTCCGGCACCACAATTCAAATGCAGCTGCTTCGATTCTTCTGCAGTCTTCCTTATTCAATGTCCAACTTTCACACACATATGAGTCAATTGAAATGATCAATGCTTGGGTCATGTTCAACTTAGTCCTTAGACTCTCTTTTTTGACTTCATTAATTGTTAATACTATAATGGTTTTACTATCCCAACTTCAAAATATTTCTGTACATTAAGATCTATACTACATTTTAATCTATCTGTGCAAATTTTCTTCTGTTCAATTGCATTTGTCCAGATTCCATATGAATGTGAACTCATGAAATAGGTGATGCAGTTGCTAGCAACCTTAATTTTTGTCACATGTGTATCATTTTCATGTAATATATTTTAATTTGCCTTGAAAAAATAAGATACAATGACCCTGATTTGTTCCACTAAATATCATTTTTGTTTTATGTTACATCCAAATAATAAGATATATGATCAAGAATGAATTCTGAAATAAAACTATGGTGTGTCTATAGAATTTTTTTATTTTAAATTATCTCAATTCCTTAAGATAAATGAATTAAAGAAAATAACATTAACTTAATACTTCATAGAATATTTGTTCTTTGAAATAAAATTGTTGACCAGAATAAGGTTCAATAAAACAAAAGTGGTACTAAAAGGATATTAAAAATAAAGAACTTTATTGAAAGTTAATAATTTATCATACTATATATTTTTGTATGTTTCTCAGTATTTAATATGTGTGTTAAAGAAATTAGCATTTCTGTTATATCTTTAAACTCCAGACTTTACTTAATCTATATAAACTTATATGTTTTTTATATTTTGAATATGACCTTATTTAGAGTTCAAGAACCAGAAATCTAGCAAGTGTAAACACTGTCCTCTAGAATATACAGCGACTATACAGAGGTCCCGAGGACAAGGATGTTTGGTTTATTTTCTTTTTATGATGCTATTTTACCTGCAGTGAATTTAGCCTTGGTTGCTTTCGTCTATTGCTTGGGGAAATTAAATTCAATTTATAGTAAATGCATCTCTATGTTACTCATCTTGATAAACAATGCACAAAGATGTCAGACAGCACTAAAATTGAAACCCTCATTTTGTTTTCTTAGTCACCTGTGCCAATGGGTCATAGAAGGTATGAGAGTAGAATTTTCACTTTTTAAAATTTTTCAGTCTTGGTGTTTATAGAAGAGGTGACATCCACATCAGTCAACTCTGCATTTCATTTGGCATTAAAATCCATTATCCATAAACAACTTTGTTCATTTTCTAAAAGGAATAAGTAAACATACATTGGATACTTTATTTAGACAACCAAAACCAACTCACAGCCATCCTGAATTCTGACTCATGACACCATTTTAGGACAAGCTGTAACTTCCCCTGTGACTTTCTGAGGCTATATATTCTTTTTTTTTTAACATTTTATTAGGGGCTTATACAACTGTTATCTCAATCCATACACACATCAATTGTGTAAAGCACATTTGTACATCATTCTCAAAACATTTTCTCTCCACTTAAACCCCTGACATTAGGTCCTCATTTTTCCCCTCCCTCCCCACTCCCCCTTCCTTCATAAGCCCTTGATAGTTTATAAATTGGTATTTTGTCATATCTTGCCCTGTCCGACGTCTCCCTTCACCCACTTTTCCGTTGTCTGTCCCCCAGGGAGGAGGTCACATATAGTTCCTTGTAATTGGTTCCCTCTTTCCAACCCACTCTCCCTTTACCCTCCCTGTTTCGCCACTCACACCACTGGTCCTGTAGGGCTCATCTTCCCTGGATTCCCTGTATTTTCAGTTCCTATCTGTACCAGTGTACCTCCTCTGGTCTAGCCAGACTTGCAAGGTCAAATTCGAGTCATGGTAGTTGGAGGGGGGAGGAAACATTTAGGAACTAGAGGAAAGTTGTATTTCTCATCGTTGTTACATATTCTTTATAAGAGTAAAAAGTCTTATATTTCTCCTACTGGCAGCTGGTGGTTCTGAACTGCTAACTTCCAGGTAAGCAGCTTAGGATGTAAGCACTATGCCACCAGGGCTCCTTTATTTGATATTCAGATAAAACAGACTGAAAAAGCTATTTAAATTCTAAGATAAATATGTGTGACTTAGAATAAAGTACTTCTGGAAAACAAATATATTTTAGCTTCTCAATAATACCCACACAATAATAACTTCTAAAAATTTAACATGAAATATATAATAATGCCCTAAGCCCACTGCCAGTCATTGTCAACTCGCAGTGATTGCACGTAGGGTTTCAGAAGCTGTAAATCTTTATGGGAGCAGAGATCCCCCTCTTTCTCATTTCAAGGTCTTTTTAGAATTGCCTACTATTCCATTACCAACCATGCTTCCTGGACAGCTCTGACAGAGTTCCTTATACTATAATAACCCAAACAAACCCATTGCCGTGGAGTAAATTCTGGTTCATAGTGACCCTATAAGGCAGGGTCAAATGCCTCTGTGGGTTTCTAAGAGTGTCATTCTTTATAAGCATAGGAAACATTGTCTTACTCCTATAGATCGGCTCTTGGTTTGAACCACTGACCTTGTAGTTGACAGCCCAACACATGATCACTGTGCCATTAGGCTCTTTCTACCATAATAGAATATTACAATTTCAGTGAAAGTTTACAAACTCAATTTCACACAACCAAAAATATACTTCTTTGCTTTGCTATTAATCACTTATTTTTTATTTTAATAAATCATTTTATTGGGGGCTCATACAACTCTTATCACAATCCATCCATCCATCCATCCATTGTGTCAAGCACATTTGTACATGTGTTGTCATCATCATTTTCAAAACACATTCTTTCTACTTGAGCCCATAGTATCAGCTCCTTTTATGGAAATTATATTATATGATTGTCTATAGTATTTCATCATTATTTATAGAAACAATTGCTATATTTTAATATTTTAAAAAATCACAAAACTTAAAGTTGTTTTAAAATATTAATTTCAAAATGACACTCTTTTTTGAAACTGATATT